TACTACTACTACTACTACGTACTACTACTACTACTACTACTACAGTACTGTACCTTTACTTACTACTACTACTACTACTACTACAGTACTGTACCTTTACTACTACTACTACTACTACTACTACTACAGTACTGTACCTTACTTACTACTACTACTACTACTACTACTACTTACAGTACTGTACCTTTACTTACTACACTACTACTACTACTACAGTACTGTACCTTTACTTACTACTACTACTACTACTACTACAGTACTGTACCTTTACTTACTACTACTACTACTACTACTACTACAGTACTGTACCTTTACTTACTACTATACTACTACTACTACTACATACGTACCTTTACTGACTACTACTACTACTACTACTACTACTAACCTTACTACTACATACTACTACTACTACGTACTGTACCTTACTTACTACTACTACTACTACTACTACAGTACTGTACCTTTACTTACTACTACTACTACTACTACTACTACTACAGTACTGTACCTTTACTACTACTACTACTACTACTACTACTACAGTACTGTACCTTATACTACTACTACTACTACACACTTACTGTACTACCTACTACTACTACTACTACTACTACTACTACAGTACTGTACCTTTACTTACTACTACTACTACTACTACTACAGTACTGTACCTTTACTTACTACTACTACTACTACTACTACAGTACTGTACCTTTACTACTACTACTACTACAACTACAGTACTGTACCTTTACTTAACTACTACTACTACTACTACTACTACAGTACTGTACCTTTACTTACTACTACTACTACTACTACTACTACAGTACTGTACCTTACTTACCTACTACTACTACTACTACAGTACTGTACCTTTACTTACTACTACTACTACTACTACTACAGTACTGTACCTTTACTTACTACTACTACTACTACTACTACAGTACTGTACCTTTACTTACTACTACTACTACTAACTACTACAGTACTGTACCTTTACTTACTACTACTACTACTACTAATCCTATACTTACTACTACTACTACTACTACTACTACTACTACTACAGTACTGTACCTTTACTTACTACTATACTACTACTACTACAGTACTGTACCTTACTTACTACTACTACTACTACTACTACAGTACTGTACCTTTTACTACCTACTACTACTAATACTACTATTCGTACGGGTAGTACCTTTTACTACTACTACTAATACTACTACTAACAGTACTGTACCTTTACTTACTACTACTACTAATCCTACTACTACAGTACTGTACCTTTACTTACTACTACTACTACTACTATTACTAGTACTGTACCTGTACTTACTACTACTACTACATACTACTACTACAGTACTGAACCTTTACTTACTACTAATAAACTACTACTACTACTACAGTACTGTACCTTTACTTACTACTACTACTACTACTATACAGTACTACCTTACGTACTACCTACTACTACTTCACTACTACTACTATATAACAGTACTGTACCTTTACTTACTATACTCTACGAACTACTACTACCAGTTTACTACTACTACTACTACTTAGTACACTACCTTACTTACATACTACTACTACTACTACTACTACAGTAACTGTACCTTTACTTACTACTGACTACCTACTACTACTACCTACAGTACTGTACCTTTACTTACTACTACTTACACTACTAATACTACAGTACTGTACCTTTACTTACTACTACTACTACTACTACTACAGTACTGTTACCTTTACTTACTACTACTACTACTACTACTACTACAAGTTACTGTACCTTTACTTACTTACTTACTAACTAAACTACTACTGTACCTTACTTACTACTACTACTACGACGACTACTGTACTTACTACATACTACTTACTACTACTACTACTACTACTACAGTACTGTACCTTTACTTACTACTATACTATACTACTACTACAGTACTGTACCTTTACTTACTACTGCACTACTACTACTACTACTACAGTACTTACCTTTATACTACTAACTACTACTACTACTACTACTACATTACTGTACCATTACTTATACTACTACTACTACTACTACTAACTACTACACGTACTGTACCTTACTTACAGTACTTACTTTACTATACTACTACTAAACTACTAACTACTACTACTACAGTACTGTACCTTTACTTACTACTACTACTACTACTACTACTACAGTACTGTACCTTTACTTACTACTACTACTACTACTACTACAGTACTGTACCTTTACTTACTACTACTACTACTACTACTACACTACAGTACTGTACCTTACTTACTACTACTACTACTACTACTTACTACAGTACTGTACACTTTACTTTACTACTACTACTACTACTACTACAGTACTGTACCTTTACTTACTACTACTACTACTACTACTACAGTTACTGTACCTTTACTTACTACTACTATACTACTACTCAATATATACTACAGTACTGTA